ACAGCATTTTATAAAGCTGTCAGAGATGAAAGTCAAGTCAATGTTTTCATGGTTGCTGCTGAAAAAATTAAAACTGCTTTTGATGGCACAGAACTTGGAAACATCATTAAAAATGCTTGTAAAACGCCTGGAATATTTAGTTCCCATTGCTTAAAACAGTTTAATGGTAAAATAAGTTTTAAAAAAACAGTTTAATGATAAAATAGAAATTAAAATAGAAATAAAACCTTATTCATGGGCATCATACTTAGTTAACTAGATAAAACTTAATAAAGTAACATAGTTAAATTTTACAAGACTTTTTTTGAAACTAATGTAAATAAACTATTTTGTTAAACGTTATTGCTATACCAATCTTATAAAAACCCACATAAATTAGTTTCTTTTGTTTCAACTGTCTTTTTGATGATGTTATTGTCTAAATATTCAAAGATTTTGTACTGGTCACACCGTGACATCATGGTGTGATGAAAACAAAAAATGTTATGAAATTATTATAACACCTTTTAAGTATCCAAGAAATAACAAAAAAAATTATTTCAAAATATCCACAAGAGCTGAACTACTGTCATTTCTTCTAATGACGGAAAATACTAGATTTTAAATTTTTGTCGCGTCGTGACGCAATCTTTTAATGCGTATACCTAAAAGTCTATAAAATATTAAAACTAAATAATTTTGTTTTCAGAAACTGTAATAAATATGAAAATTTTTTAGTATCTTTAATTTTTAAATTTTTAATCTTAAATGCGCTAAAATCTGATGTTTTTTCCCCCAAAAAAGTCAAATGTCACGCCGTGACAATGTGGAATAGCCCATAAGATGATTACAGTAGACTGTTATCAATGAAAGTTGATCAAGCTGAGCCAAGCATTGAAGGATAAAAAGCTGCAATATACTCAAAGTCATGACAAGGTTATTCTTCAACATGACAACCCACAACACCATGTTGCAAATGTTGTAAAAAACTACCTGGAGAACCTCAAATGGGAAGTCCTACGCCACCTGCCATAATCACCAGACATTTCCCCATCTGCTTACCATTTGTTCTGGTCAATGACACATGGCCTGCCTGAGTAGCAATTTTTTTTTATGATGATAACTAAAAAATGGGTTGGTAAATGGATTGCCTCAAAAGACCACGACTTTTTCCAGCATGGAATCTGCATGCTACTTGAAAGATGGAGGAATGCCATAGCTCCCAATGGACAGTGTTTTGAATGATCTGATTCTGATAGTCTTCTCAAAATAAGCTGTTGATTTTTATTTAAAAATGCTCATTTTTATAAATGCTTCCAATATATATATATATATATATATCAGGCCTTGCGATGAATAAGAACTGCGCGACGCATAAGCACGACGTGATTTTTGACGTCATTAAATTCTTTTTATTTGCTTTTCATATTTATCGACATTAACTGCACCAATTTACTTAATTACCGCAAAACTACTTTAAATCGTTTATGTAGAAATGTTATTATTTAAAAATGTTTTGGAATGTTTTGTTTTTTAAAATGTAAAAACATTTGTTTATTTTCTCGACGTTTGTCACGTTTTTTCTATACTAAACGAATAAAAAACATTATAACTTAAATTTAAAAAAGATTATAAAATATGCTAATATTTGATTTTTTTTTTCTTAAATATGTAATTTAAAGTTTTTCAAATAATTATTTTTTCTTTTTAAAAAGTCAGCGAGTAATAAACTGGAAATTTTAATATTGTACGATTAAAAACTGTGCAATAGCTAATATTTTTACAAGCGATTTTATATAATATTTATTTATTTTTATTTATTTTCATAAAGCGGTTGATAAGCACAATCACTCGTATTAATAAAAAACTTAAACGAACGTTTTGAATAGATTTTTAATGTTAACAAGGAATTTTATTTCTAGTAAAAAAAAATATAATGTTTGAATAAAAATTTTTTAGGAATAAAAGAAATATTTCAGCGAAAAAATTATTCTTAAAAATTATTCGAAAAACTATTGACGTTCTATTTTTCAGCAGCTGTTCTTGAGCACGCTTCATAGAGTTTCGGTAACTTTTAACATAAAAGCGATCGTTATTATTTAAGTAATTTTTTTGAGTTACTTTTTACAAAAATTTTAATAACTGTACTTTTTTATTGAATCAAGTAGAATACGTTTTAATAGTAATCCTTTTTTATTTTTTTATTTGCCCTCAACTGCGTGCGGTTTTTAAAATACTTTATTAAATGTTAAAATATTCGTAAATTACTTCATTAAAATTCCGCTCAAAAATATCTTTAAATATACTCAAACAAAAATTTTTTTGCTCGACGCAAATAGCCCTAGCTACACACAAAATCGCTCTTGGACGGCGTAACATTCACATCGCCCGACGCTTTATCGCAAGGCCTGATATATATATATATATATATATATATATATATATATATATATATATATATATATATATATATATATATATATATATATATATATATGTATATATATGTATATATATGTAT